GGAGGGGGTGGGGGCGCTCCGGCAGCCGTCCAGCCTCCCCGCCCGCCGGCTTCGGGTTCGCACTGACCTTGGAGCGGCGGCGCAAGGGCTCTGCGCGGGGGCGGCGGGGCGGGGGCGGGCGGGGGTCGCCGGCGCTGGGCCGCCTCCGGCCGGCTGGCTCAGTGGCCCCTCGGGCCGGGCCCCGGGCGGGCCATGAGCTGGCGGAGCTGCGCGCGGGGCCCCGGCTCGAGGACACAAAAGGACATCGCAGCCCACTTCCTACTCTACTCGGCTTCCTCCAGCTGGCGGGGGCGGGGACGGGGGAGGGGTATGCAGAGCAGGGGGCGGGGACACGGGGCAGCCCCCGCCCCCCGCTCTTCCACCCCCTCCCCCCCAGCCCGGCTCTCCTGCGCGCCGCCGCTTCGGCAGCCTCAACCCTCCTTCCTCCTTCCTCCTGCCGGCCAAGACGCGGCGCTTCCAGCCCGGGACTGCAGCTGCGTTTCTATTTGGAGGGATGGAGGGATGGAGGGATGGACGGACGGACAGACGGACAGACAGATAGACAGACAGATAGATAGATAGATAGATAGATAGATAATACATAGATTCATGATAGATAGATGATAGACAGACAGACAGATATACATAGATTCATGATAGATAGACAGACAGACAAAGATGATAGATAGATAGATAGATGAGATAGATAGATAGATAGATAGATGGATGGATGGATGGATGGATGGATAGATAGATAGATAGATAGATAGATAGATAGATAGATAGATAGATAGATAGATAGATAGATAGATAGATAGATAGATAGATAGATAGATAGATAGATGGATAGATATAGATGGATTCATATGACAGATAAATAGATAGATAAGAGACAGATAGATATAGCTAGACAAGCAGGCAGGCAGACAGAGAGAGAGAGAGAGAGATGATAGATAATAGGTAGATTCATATGACAGATACACAGAAAGAAATTAGATAGATATACTGTAGATGGATTCATATGAGAGATAAGAGATAGACAGACAGATAGATAGATAGAGATAGATAGGTACATGGAGATAGATAGATATCGATTCGTATGACAGAGAACTTCCTCCCTCCCTCCCTCCCTCCCTCCTTTTTTCTAGTGATTCTGCTGAGATTCTAAATTCTGGATCTCTGCAAAAAGAATTCCCCGCTGGCTGGGGAATTCTGGGAATCTTTGAGATTGAGCAACACTAGCTTCGATGATTCAGACCGAAAAGCGGCTCCTCGTTTGTTACAGAGCAGGCCCTCCTAGCTGAGGATGATGGGATTTGTAACCATCACCCCTGAAAATTCCCAGCTGGTCTCAGGTCTCTAGGCTCTTTGCAGTCCCGACACGGGCCACTAGAGGTCGCACCTCCCTCAAAATGGACGGCTCTCTATTTCAGCCAATGGCAGACCCAGTTACTGCATTTAGCCCACATTCTCATGATCATAAATTGAGGATTATCTGAACTGGCTTATGAGCTTGTAGGCATCCTGTTGGCCATGATCTGACCCAGAACGGTGGCCTAAATGAGTCTTTGGCTTGATGGTCAGCGGCCTTTTCTGAATCGTTTATCAGATATAATGTTTAATTTTACACCTTCAATCAGAATAGACCTGGAAGGGACCTTGGAGGTCATCTAGTCCAGTGGTTCTCAACCTTTTTAATGTCGCGACCCCAACCGGTCGTAAGTCAAGGACTAAACCGGTCGTAAGTCGAGGACTAAACCGGTCATACGCCGAGGACTAAACCGGTCGTAAGTCGAGGACTACCCAACCGGTCATAAGTCGAGGACTTTCCCTGCCCGGGAGCGCCGTGCATGCGTGGTTCCGCCCCCTGCGCCGGCCGAGGCGTAGCTGGCAAGCGGCAGAGACGGAGCAGGCCGACCACCAGCTGGCCCAGCCCAAGGGAGGTAAGGCACCCGCCGGAAAAGGGGGAAAAAATGGCGGACAGCCTTGCTTGGCGACCCCCGTGAAATGGTCNCTGTCCAGTCTCTTCTTAAAAGCCTCCAGTGTTGGAGCACCCACAACTTCTGGTGGCAAGCTGTTCCACTGGTTAATTGTCCTCACTGTTAGGAAGTTTCTCCTTAATTCCAGGTTGCTTCTCTCCTTAGATTAGTTTCCATCTATTGTTTCTTGTCCTACCTTCTGGTGCTTTGGAAAATAGGTTGACCCCCCTCTTCTTTGTGACAGCCCCTCAAATACTGGAATCATGTCACCCCTAAGTCCTTCTTTTCTCTAGACTAGCCAAACCCAATTCCTGCAATCGTTCTTCGTATGTTTTAGTCTCCAGGCCTTTAATCATCTTAGTTGCTCTTCTCTGTACTTTCAGCCACATGCACCACAGACCCGGGGGAATTTTGGCCTATGGAGCATGGCTCTTCTATTAATCTGTTTCCTCCCTGCCAGCCCAACCCACCTTATAGGGTTGTTGTTGTGAAGAAAAGAGGAGGAGAACAATTGTGTATGTTCACCTCCTTAAGTCACTCATAAGTATAAAGTATAAAGCTATGGCAAATCTAGACAGCATACTCAAAAGCAGAGACATCACCCTGCCAACAAAAGTACATATAGTCCAGGCCGTGGTTTTCCCAGTTGCAATGTATGGCTGTGAAAGTTGGACCATAAGAAAGGCTGAGCGCCAAAGAATGGAGGCCTTTGACCAATGGTGCTGGAGAAGACTCCTGCGAGTCCCCTGGACTGCAAGGCGATCCAACCGGTCAGTCCTAGAGGAGATCAACCCCAACTGCTCTTTAGAAGGCCAGATCCAAATACTTTGGCCACCTAATGAGAAGGAAGGACTCACTGGAGAAGAGCCTAATGCTGGGAAAGATGGTGGGCAATAGAAGAACGGGACGACAGAGGTGGCTGGATGGAGTCCCTGAAGCAGCAGGCGTGAGCTTCAATGGACTCCAGGAGATGGTAGAGGACAGGAAGGCCTGGAGGAACGTTGTCCATGGGGTCGCGATGGGTCGGACACAACTTCGCAACTAACAACAACAACAAAGTAATAAAACAGGATTTTAAAAAATCGACTGAATAATAACAAAAATTAGCCATCGACGGACACATAGAGTTAAGCCACATTTACCCACCCATCAAAAGAGACAATTACAAAAGTGAAGAAGGAAACAAAAAGAGCTTTGTCTTGGTGTGCGTGCACATGCGTGTGGGAGGAAGGAAAGCCGCAAGCAGGACAAAAATCAGAGCCAGAACAGTTACTGAAAGTCTAGGGAAGAAAAAAAACAATGTTGAATGTGACTTGGCATGAGAGTTTTTGGCTTGGATGGACTGTCTACTAATGGCTTGGCATTTCTGCCCCACATTAGTCCTGGATTCAGATCGATCAGTTGTCAAGACAGGGAATCTCAGAGGACGGACAGCAGAATCGGCAAGAGCCCACCTGTTTTTGCAGGAATAGAATAGAATAGAATAGAATAGAATAGAATAGAATAGAATAGAATAGAATAGAATAGAATCTGGAAGGGACCTTGGAGGTCTTCCAGTCCAGCCCCCTGCTCAAGCAGGAGCACCTATACCATTTCAGATAAGTGACTGTCTAGTCTCTTCTTAAAAAACCTCCCTTGATGAAGCACCCACGATTTCTGGTGGCAAGCTGTTCCACTGGTTAATTGTCCTCACTGTCAGGAAGTTTCCAGGTTGCTTCTCTCTTTGATTAGTTTCCAACCATTGTTTCTTGTCTTGCCCTGTGTTCCTTCGGAGAATAGTTCGACCCCCCCCCCCTCTTATTTGTGGCAGAACTAACCCAGATCTATACATTTGGCAAACCCAGATATGACCTGGTTTGTGTGAACCAGGCTAGGGAGACAGCAGGATCCTAAGATCGTAGGTTAAAGGCTCAAATGGCCAGCATGGAAATTTAGGAAGGTTGCCAGGTTTCTAGTTTCCCTCATTCCTGGCCAAACTGGCTGGGGCTGATGGGCTTTGTAGTTTTGAAAACCCCTCTGGGAACCTGGACTCGGAGGAATGCTAGCTGGCTCCATCGGCGTATTTGCTTATTTTCATTTCTGCCTCCCATGAAAAACTGAGATCTATTTTTTGCCCCGAAACAAGCCGGTGTTTGTTCTCACATAAACTGGAAATCCCCCAAAGACGGACGGTGTAATCCAAGGTCTAAAATTATCCAGGTCTTGCTGCAAAGGCTGTCAAAGAGCAGCCATCAATGGTGGCTCTGTGTGGCAACGTCATGTGGCAGGAAGGAGGTGGAGATAAAGTTGGAAGGCAGAAGGGGAGATGTTTTTGCAAAGGCTGCTGATGGACGCTGACCAGCCGTGGAGATCCAGGGCAAGAACAATTGAGGGTCCAGGGGGCCACTGAGGGCCCTCAAAAGGTGCTCCTAAGCCTTCCAACTTGGCTCAAGAAGTTGTGGTGGTTCTACAAAACCCACAACTGTCCCTGGAAGAAGCTTTGGAGAACTTCAGAAAGTCCTCAACCTCTGGGACGAGGCAAGGAATCCGGTCATCTAGAGGTGGACAGAGAAACAGTTTGGAGAACTTGAGAAGGTCCCTCAACTCCCGCCGGGGAAGAATCAAGGATTTGGGTCATCGGGTGGCGGATGTACAAAATAATTTGGGGGTGAACTTCAGGAGATCCCCAGCTCCTGACAGGAAGAGTCAAGGAATCCAGTCATCTGGTAGAGGAGAGACAAACAGTCTGGAGAACTTCAGGACGTTCCCACCAGGAACAGGCGAGGAACAGGTTGAGGACAATCCCATCGGAAGAGCCGATACTATCTCCGAAGGGGCAGATTGGGGGGTCTAATTGATCCTGGGTTAGCAAGGGCTCTGGAAGGACTGGAGGAGGGGGGATCTGCCCCCCCCCAGCCCCACTCCTCTCAGCATGTTCTTCTTCTCTGTGGTGATGGTGGTGGTCCCATGGATCCTTGCTCCTCACGGGGCCGATTCTGCATTTTCCATGTGCCAGAGTTTGGACCTTGAGGTGGCACGGGCCAGAAGGATTCAGGCAATCCGAGGCCAGATCCTAAGCAAGCTGCAGCTGGAGACGCCCCCCAAGCAAGACGGGGCGCCCCATCCTTTGCCCCCCGAGGTGATGCTCCTCTTCAACAGCACGCAGGAGCTGGTGAGGCAGCTGGCGACCTGCGAGGGACGGCGCACGGCACCGCGCCAGGATGAGGAATATTACGCCAAAGAAGTCCGGCGGGTGGATATGTTGACTCTCGGGCACACTGACAGTAAGGGGGGGGGTTCTTGCAAAAAGGGGGGGGCGTTGACCATTGGCAAAGGGAGGAGAAACAGGGAGCATCTTGTAAGGCAGGAAAAGAGAGAGAGTGGAACGGTGGGGATCGGGAACGGATGGGAGGAGTGGAAATGAATTCCCGCGAACCTCCACAGCCAGGAGCAGTCTACCAGGTGAGGGGACAAAGCAGAGGAAAATTGCTTCCCTGTTCTGCTTTGCTAGGCTTTTGACCTAGAGCAGTGGTTCTCAACCTTTTTAATGCCGCGACCCCAACCGGTCATAAGTCGAGGACTAAACCGGTCGTAAGTCGAGGACTAAACCGGTCATAAGTCGAGGACTACCCAACCAGTCGCAAGTCAAGGACTTTCCCTGCCCGGGAGCGCAGCGCATGCGTGGTTCCGCCCCCTGCGCCGGCCGAGGCGTAGCTGGCAAGCGGCAGAGACGGAGCCGGCAGACCACCAGCTGGCCCAGCCCAAGGGAGGTAAGGCACCCGCCGGAAAAGGGAAAAAAAATGGCGGACAAAAAAAATGGCGGACAGCCTTGCTTGGCGACCCCCGTGAAATGGTTGATCGACCCCAAATGGGGTCCCGACCCACAGGTTGAGAACCACTGACCTAGAGGTAGTCCTTGCCTTACGGCAGTTCGTTTAGTAACCGTTTGAAGTTACGCCGGCGATGAAAAAGGGACTTAGGACCATTTGTCACACTTAACGACCGTTGCAGCCTTCCCCAGGGTCATGTGATCAAAATTCAAAGGCTTGGCGACTGACTCTTGTTTACGACGATTACGGCGTCCCGGGGAGGGGCACGGGATCCCCTTTTGCGACCTTCTGACAAGCAAAGTCAACGGGGGGGGGGAAAGCCAGACTCACTTAACAACCGTTATTAACTGAACTACCACGGTGGTTCGCTTAATAACCGAAGCAAGAAAGGTTGTAAAATGGGGCAAAATTCACTTAAAAACAGTCTAGCTTAGCAACAAACATTTTGGGCTGAATAAGTTGAGGACTTCTGTATTCCAGATCACCCTTTTTTCAGCCACAACTGAGAGATCAGGGATCTGTAGATTTTAAACGGTTGGGTCATTTAAACCGGGGCTCTCCAAACATGGCCACTTTTAAGACTTGTGGACTTCAATTCCCAGAATTCCCCAGCCAGAAAACACGGCCACTTTTAAGACTTGTGGACTTCAACTCCCAGAATTCCCCAGCCAGAAAACATGGCCACTTTTAAGATTTGTGGACCTCAACTCCCAGAATTCCCCAGCCAGAAAACATGGCCACTTTTAAGATTTGTGGACCTCAACTCCCAGAATTCCCCAGCCAGAAAACATGGCCACTTTGAAGACTTGTGGACTTCAACTCCCAGAATTCCCCAGCCAGCAAACTTGGCCACTTTTAAGACTTGTGGATTTCAACTCCCAGAATTCCCCAGCCAGCACGTGCTGGCTGGGGAATTCTGGGAGTTGAAGTCCACAGGTCTTCAAGTGGTCACGTTGGGAGAGCCCTGGTTTCAACCAATAAACTGAAGATTATATATATACAATACATCCTCTAGAATAAAAATTGCTGACGGAGTCTCTTACCGCCCAGATTCCATCCTCGGCCCCTTCTCCACTCCTTTCTTCCGATTCCTGCACTTCGATCTCTCCGTTGCGCCCCACAACTTCAGCCACCTCGTCCAGGCGGAGCTGAGGATCTACAAGGTCCCAAATCCTGGATCCCACGCCACCGAGCAGCACGTGGAACTCTACCAGGTTAGGACACTTTTGAACTCTGCGGTCACCGATTTGTGCATGGATGCTAAATCTCCTGTTTGGGATTTAGGCTGAGAAACTGACTAGGACAGCGGGCTTAGGAGCTTCAAATAATAATAATAATAACAA